CAGGAATTGGAAGACTGCCTGAAGAAGCTCGACAGTGGAGTGTCACGCAAACGACGCAACTGGGCTACCCAGCAGAAGGCTGGTATCAAAAAATTAGAATTGTGGAGCCAACTGAAGAGAACTTGGCAGAACTTGTTAAAGAATCATTTTGAAGAAGCGATGAGAACATCCTCATCGGCATCACCGTTGATGTCGAATCCCTTTATTAGGACCGCAGGACAACTGATGTTCGCGTGGAGCCTGTTGGGAATAGAGTTAGAGACACTAACTTCGTACGACAAGTTGAAGTTGGGAGGCAAGAACCTAGAGGTATATCGAATGCTGATGCAGCACGTTGCTAGGGACAACTCAGGCTTGAGCCTGGCAAGGAGGAAGGATGCTACCTGCTTCTTGAGATGGACAATGTCGATGATGACTGACAGTACCATCCTAGCATGTCACCAGAGAGCAATTGCAAGCAAGACGCTGGAAAGGAGAGTCTCCACAGTCATCTTGAATGTGTACCAGAGTACTGGGATAGAAAAGGAAGATGGTTCTAGGCAATCTCTGGAGAGCCACAGGAGAAGTTAGATGAGATACGGAAATTCTACAACAAGAAGTTCGAGGAGAAACACGACGTTCACCGTAACTTGGCTTCTTCAGGAGAGTACTTGAAACCCAACGAGAAGGGAGAGTATCAGTATGTGTCTGGAGTGATGGGGATGGCATACAACCCTTTCTTAGACTTAGAAGCTGGAAGTGCCCAAAGAAACTATGAGGTGGCGGAGCTGCTGAAGTTCTGGACAGAGAGGATAATGGAGATAGACCCTGTGGAGAGAGAGACCTAGTCTGGGTTTGATTCTCGAGAGAACACCGGAAGTAATAAGTGTGCCACGCTCAAGTAAAAGAGTAGAATTAAAAATGGGTAACGGGAACGGCAAGTTGACCACGAATCTGGGAGTGGTGTGGAAATTGCTCAGGCCCTCCTGGTGTCCACATCCCCATGCGAGCCTGATCGAGGAAGTCACGGAGCGAGTGAGATTGGCGCCGACAGAGGATGAAGATTTAGCGACCTTGAGTATAGTACATAGACTGATCCTGCCTCAGATGAAGGAGTCAAGTGAGATGACGAGCGGAACAGGGTCGGTAAAGAAGATGGAGCCGGGCAGTTGTCTTGACTCGACGTGTGGGAATGGCGAGCACACCTGTTATGGACGATCGTGCGTCAGGATACAGTCTTTCCAGAAAGAAGACCTAGTCACCTGGTTTGAAGATATCACCGAAAGGGAGAAAAGTGAGATACAGATAATGGCTGAGTGTTACGCGAGTACCACTGTAAACCTAGCAACAGCTCTGGGATTCTTCTCAAGAATGTGTAGTCTCCAGTCACTGGAGAGGCTAGAGTCAGAACACCACTTGGTGACCGCGTTGAGCGGAGTCATGGCCCGGAGTGTTGCAGGTGACCCAGAAACACATTAAGAGTTGGAAGGTTGGACTCGAAGCGGAGATGGGATTTCCCATGAGCGAAGCCTATGGACTGCCTCTAAATGCGAAGTCCCTAGTGGGGTCAGTGATGGCCAACCTATGTGGCAGCCACTATCCATTGCACATGGCGATGGTAGAAGTATCCAGCCAGAGGGTATTGATAGACAAAGCCTTCTCAGTGCCCAAATGTGTAAGACTGGCTCGGATGTCACATCATTCACACAAGCTGTTGAGGAAGATCTGAGGAACAGTGCCTAAAGAACAAAGGGACGACTTTAGTGAAATATGGGGTGAAGAACTTCTAGGCTTAGAGAGTGAAAATACCAGTGACCTCGAGAGACAAAACGTGATTGGGAAACCCATGGTAAGTGCCCCAAACTTGGAAGAAGTCGACGTGATACACGAGAAGATGATGGAACTTGAGCCTCTCCTAGAAGCCTCGGGAGAACGCAATCTTAGGAGCATCGACCTCACACACGGGGATTGTCCTCGCCACTGTCTGGCGCAGACAGTGTGGTACCCAGACCAAGCCAATCTCTGCCTGATCTGGGATGTAGAAGAAATCAGGTCGTTGGGATTACCCGAGCATCAACAAAAATTGACCATCTTGGTGGTGAGCACAATGCTGGCTCTACGATGGATGGAAGAAAACATAGCAAATTATCGAGAATCGAAGACGCCAACAGCGGAGTCGATTCACGCGATAGATTACAGCAGGAGACTTGAGTTGTTCGAGACAGCATGCAAGGTGTTCGCCATACCAATGGAGGTCAGACACGTGTGGAGCCGCTTGAGATTCTTTCCTTGGTTTCGCGCGACGTTAACATCCTGGTTATATGTAGCAACGAAGGATCACATGAGGAGACACCAAAAGGAATATCGACAATTGCAGGCCGAGATAGGACCAGATGCCTTCAAAAGACCTCTGCTGACCCATCGAAATGCGATCACAATGGGGTGGAAAAGAGTGGGTAGAGTATCCAGAGACAACACTAGAGCGAGGGAGTCAATACTTGAGGAGGACCTGGTGAAGAATGTAAGCCTGAGTCTTCAAAATTCCTTCTGTTTGAACCGAGAGTCGAAGGTGAAGAGCTTACCAAATCAAGCGAAGAGATTGCAAGAGCAAAGGGAGTGGATGCGATCCTATGAACAGCTGAAGGCTTGGGAGGAGATTGTGATCAGCTCCGATGACGAAGAAGCACTATTGGAACAGATCACAGTGTCAAAAATATCTGGATCGGGTACCTCGAGGGCGAAGAACACAAGGTGAGCCGGTGGCTCAAAAGGAAAATTCTAGAGTCTTGAGTCTTGAGAGGGAGGGGGCTCGAGGATGAACTCGGATGAAATCTGGGTTCACGAAAAAGAAATTTTAACAAATAAGATACTGTTATTAATATGCTACATCTATTATATAAATCAAAATGCTGCATGACAATTTCCAGATTGAATAGGACAAAAGAAATTTTAAATCACCAGCTTAAAAAGCGGGAATTCATAAGGTGCATGTGTGTGCATATTTTGATTGCTGTTTAGCGATAGTGTGAAAAATTTATATGGTAGTAAATTTTGGAAGGTAGATAAACTTAAATCTGCTGCAAACTTCTGTAAATGGCCATTGGCACTGTATCTTGAGTGACACTCGGGCTTCTGGGGATTCACTGACAGAGACAGCACGCGATGAGGACATCGATCTTGAGTCTGGGGAGTATGTGCCAGTCGGTCATGTCTGGAAGTTTGACCTTGAGAGACACGAAAATACGTAATTTTGGAGTGGAATTTTAATTTTCAAAATTTCGAATGGAGCCTGTCATGCTCAGTTTTCTCGAACCAACTGAAAACACAAAGTGAAAAATCAGAACGACCGAATTTACAATTGCAGGAAAATACTCAAGAAAAACAGCAGGAAATTGCTATTCGCAATTTCCAGATATAAAATAGGACACGAGTAGAGCTGTCTTATTCCGGAATAGGAAGAGAGATAATAAAAAGAAGAGAGAACTATTATTCGGAACAAACTAGAGTGAACCTTCAATGGAAAGTTGGACAGCTTGAGTGTCCCAATGGTTCATACAAAAACTCAAACTCTAGAGCCAGAACTTACTTCCGTTACCAAAACTGACCAGTATCAAACTTATATAGTTATATTACCTAATTCTTGAGTTGCTTACCAATTTAATTACTCCTTGTACTCGAGTGCATCAACATATGAGTCCCCAATTTAAATTTCTCGAGTGTGTTTTTTGATTGTTATGTTGAGATAAGGCGAGTTTTAGGTTGATCCATTTGAAATAGATCAAAGTTCCATTGTCCAATAAAAAGTAACTTAACGGATTGTTCCAACCCTGTTTTTAACGGCGTTCGCGTATTTTGGGTAATTTGAGACCTAAGTATGGGGACGTTCTTATTTTCTAGAGTGGGGGGGATTTTTTGGTAGTAACCTTTAAGCTGTAACGGGTTCTAGTCTCATGTCGCAAGCGAACCGAATTGGCTCCGACCGTTCTTGAGGTAGAAAAACACAAGAGATAGTGTCCCTGACTCTTGAGCCAATGGTTATAGGGCCTATTTTTCTTAAGCCTCATATGTGACCGAAGTAGGCGACTGTTACATTTCCCTCAACTCCTTGCTTCTCATTATCTGATAATGAATCGAGATGTTAGTTAAATTCAATTCAGGGCATGACGAGGAAGCTAAAAGTTAGTTTATATCAGTTCGAGTTCGGATCCCGAGACCCCTCCGAATTCTGGAATCCGGGGAAATGGCGTCCTTATTTCTTTTAGGAAGGCTGGACACACCGTCCCAACACCCTTCCGCGTTTGCTTGAATTGCTAGGTAACGATTGTAGCGACACAATCGTTACAACTCGGAGCGGTCTCTGATAGTTTCCAGTTGTCTTAATTAAAATTTCCAGAATATTCCGACCTTCACGATTCGTCTAATCGTTCAAATATTGTCGCTAATCTGCCAAAACCGTCAATCTTCCAGGTCAGATGATCCTTTTCCGTTTTCGAATGTCACATTTTTTTTTCAAAAAAAAAAAACGATTAGAATTTGGGTAACTGACGCCTGGCAGTCGTCAATATGTGCTTTTTCTACGCTCCGTCACTGTCTAATGTCAGGGCGAATGTTAAAGTTCTTGAATGTTCAACCTTTCCAGCAGACATTTTTGCGACAAGATTGCACGGGGTTCGATTCCTGTCGAGACCTATTTTTGCAAATTGAAAGTTTTCGGCTATTTTTGATTATTATCTATTTTGTCGGCTTAGTTCTCGCAGAAAGGACTTTTTGTGAAAGTTTGGCTTCTTTCGAGTATTCCAGAAGCTCCTTGTAATTCTGGTGATTTTTGAGTTTTTTAGCAATTTTAGTTTGAAGACGTGGATTGTAGCAGTTTTTCAGTCTTTTCTTTCAAACATTAGATAAGGTAAAATTACACGAAAGTGATTGAAAGGAGATATTTTAAAAAGGGGTCAATTAAAATGGGGTATTGAAAAGAGATATTGCATATCTTCTGAATTCTTTAGAAGAATCTTTCCAATATTTTCAAAATGAATTTAGGTTACAGTTTTGGTATGTTATTCATCAGGTTGTATCAATCACCTGTCTATATCACAAATCTCGGAAAGCCACCATCTATCTAGGCTGCGGTCGGTTTTTTGGATTAAGTTTTGAAATATGAAACAGTTTTAGAAATGTTTGATGATGTGCAAGGTATGTCGACTCCAGGGCCCTCCAGAGATTTTTTCTCTACATCTACACCACCATCGTCCAGTCGCAGTTCTATTTCTGGATATGAAATTGAGAATCCATTCGATAAAGATTTGGATAAACGTTTGAGACATTCAGCGTTTTCACCATCCTTTGGTGGGGGAGGCCCATTGGAGACAAATGTAGGCCTATTTTCCTAATGTAGATACGTTTTTTATAGTTACGACATTCTTTAATGGTAATAAACGAAGAAATTTAGAAAGCATATTGAAAGTTTTTTAATGTCATTCGAATGACGTCTGACATTGCGTTAGTATAATTTATCACTCGAATCATTCTGATGATTATGTAGGGTTCTTGGTTTGCGTAGAAGAAAGTTTAAAAACTAAAATATCCCGGAAGACGTTCTTCAGCTCTCTCAGTGGTCGGAACACGTGATCGGAACATAAGAGGTACAACTCGGTACTTCTGATACGAATTTGTGTTTTTACAGATCACAATAGACGAGAACAAAGCTTTCTTGTCACCGTACTTTCAACTTATCGCTAACCCAATTAAAATTGGCTCAAAAGAAATTAAGCGCCAGTCACGTAGCAGGACAGATTGGGAGTTGGATGACAGGAGTCAAAATAGTATTGATGAGTTCTTCAGACAAGTGCCACTCAGTCCAATTTCGACTGGAAGTGTTATCAGTGACTTCTCACCATACATAAAGCACGACAGAAGTAGAAATTCTGATGATTTCAATAATTCCAGTAAGTCTATTTGCCGATCTGTTGTTTGATCTAAAATCACAAGATACGAAAAAGCAGTTGCAAAAAGTTTTAAATTTTAGCTGAATAAGACTGGTAATTAAGTTTTCATGCTTTGTGTTTTGGTCATTATTTTTTGGATAATCTAATCTAGTTGGATATAGAAATCTTGAACCATTCATAGTTAATTCATTTCACTATGCTGAAAATAAAACAATGGGTAAAATAAGTTCACCATCTTGTTTTTTCGTATTTGCGTCATTAAATTGTCCGATTTAAAAAATATATCTCGTCGTCAGTAAAGTGATCTGCTTGCAGTTTTTGTGAGAGTAATACTTTTTGAATGTAAAGTTTTTACCGGCTTATTGCCGCTGGCCCGCTGGCCTCAAAGTTCCGACCATTCATTTTCAACTGTGCTTTATTAAGGAAAGAAAAATATTATTATATTAAACAAGGATTTTATTTTAGTTGGTTTGGTTCGTCTTAATGATTAACGGCTGTCTTTTAACTGCCTTCATTGAGTAAGTTCTTTGCCCCAATTGATTTTAAAGAGCTCTGAAGTGATTTTTTGTTTCAGATAACGGACATCAAAATCTGCATGAAATCAGAGAGGAGAACACGATGGAGTTTAACAGTGAAGCGAGGGCAACACAGACTGCATTAAGTATACCGCCTGACTACGACCTCTCTTCTGTTCTAGGTTAGACGTAGCTACGGGGGGTGTCCTCTAATTTTACTGACCGTATACTTAGTGGACGGCATTTTGAAAGACACGGACAGCTCATTTTTAACTTATTTCGAAGCAACTATTTGAATATTATCTATTAAATTTATTCCTTTTTCTCAAGTTAGGCGTCATTAAAAAACCTTTCTCTCTCTGGACAAAGGGATAACTTAACCGATTTTTTTTGTCATTTTTTCTACTTCTAGTATTTTTAAATTATTTTTGTGCTAAAAGGCTGTTCTGCCTTGAACCATCGCATAATCGGGTACTCAATTAAAGTGTAGCTAGGAAAGCCTTTCTTCTTGACCACAGAGTTGTTTCGACCATTGCAAATGTGGAAGAACTTTGTATTCGGGTGTGGTTTAGTTTATTGTCTTGTTTTCCACGCAAAATCAGGAACCACAAATAATCAGCGGACTGGGTTGAGTGATATATCATATTAAAGCTCTTGATCGTGATTCACAGTGTCGAGAATAATCTTCCCAGTGTCGAGAAAAACCGGATTGAAAATTTGAATTTTTCGTCTTTTTTCGAGCGGATAAAGCGAGCGAGCAGTTTTATATTACTTGGTTAAAAGCTTACAATAGCTTATTTTGAAACGTAAAAACTTAGGTTTAATTGAGTTAAGTTAGCTCACTTTGAGTAATTTAGCGCTTTTTTGGGATAAAATTTTTCGAAATTTCAAAAAAAAATTCGAAATTTCAATGACAAAATTGATTGTCGGAAATTCGTATGGCTGTTTACGTTTTGTCGTCTTAGGTAGCTGATTTTGTCTCGTTTGAAATGAACAAATTGATTTCTTTTTGAATGTTTATTCGTGTCGATTTTTGTGTTTCCGCTAGCGAGCACAAAATTTTCAATAATAGAATCTTTTTCCAAAGTAACTAGCAAATTAAAAGGCTAATTTGGTGGCACTTGCTATAATCATTGTCTGAAGTGTTTTACATTTTCATGAAATCTGTTTTCTACTTTGTTGGTGGCTAGTGCATGACGATGTGCAAACGAATGTGGCACATATGGAAAGCGACTCCTAATCTACAGGTTGTAGTATCTCTGCTGCACTTAGCACTGGCTATGTTTATGTTTGGTAGCTTTTCTGCTACGTTGTGTTGGCATTTTTTTAGCCTCTGTAGCTGCTTTCTTAGTTACGCATATTTATGGACGTTAGACACTCAAATCTCGAGGTTGGTGGCTCGAATCCGACACATATAAAAGTTTTGATATTCAAGGCTTATTTTTACCTCTTTATTTTCACTTTTTAGAGCTCCCTTTTGTCTTGTTCTCGCTTTGCTTTGTGTAAATTTTTGAAGTTTTGTTTTTGTGCGTTTTTGGTGCGTGCTTCAATGTCAATGAACTAGTGAAGACTTTTCTTCGGTTATGTTATTTTTTTTATGTTTGCTCACCAAAAAGTTCAAAAAAACTTGAGGAACGGTAGATGAGTTTTTCGCGAGTTGAATTTTTCTTTTTGCGTTCAGTTCAATTAATTTGCTAAAATTATGGTAAATTACGATTGAAATTAACAATTTGTTTAGGTTTCGTTGAATTTGTTGAGACTTTTCCTATTTTCTGTAGGCTCTTATTTTTTATCGATTTAATTTTGATTTCGTTTGACGAGGGAACAAAAATGAAGGAACAAAGGACAGTCAAAGAGCTTCAAAGCCATCTGTATATGTTCGAAATTTAAAATTAATCAGTCGTTTTTGGTCCGTCTGCTTGACTTCAATGATATCTTCAACTCCCTGTAAGCTATTGTTTTTTGTTATTGGACCAGGCCTTGTAGCGTATTCAATTGACGAATTGATTTGTTGTTTCAGCTCATTTATTCACACAGAACAGCTGCGAATACGACACAGAAGCAGGGGCATGTTTCAATTATCCATCATCGGTAATTTAAAATTCACATGTTCATCATGAATATTCACAAAGCAATTCATCGCCTGCTGCGGGAAATAGCCGTGGTTAATGCGCAGTTTTATTTAGATTAAATAATCTACTTGGATCAATTTAGCAACCCCTTAACAAAAACCTAAACATCAACCATCTGATCGCCTTTTAATTCTCATTGATTAGTAAGAAAATTTACCTTTCGATCCAGTTTTCTTAAATTGGGTTTATTTTAAAAAGAAAGTGCCATTCATAAACAGTTCTTGAAATTCAAAGAGCTTCAACCTGGTATGTTTCTTTCTTCGAAAGATGAAAGTTTGCAATTCAATTTTTTTTGCTCTTTTGCAAACATCTGTTGGTGGCTATTGTCAAAAATAATCGATCTTTCTCTTATTCGAATCGAAGAATGCTTGTTTCGAACCTTAAGATGAGTATTTTGTGTTTCTTTCTTAGAGCAAAACTCCATCTTCATCCAGTCCGAACAAACTGAATCTGCAGGACTACGAAATCATGAGTATCAGCCGACCGCTTCTATTCGGCTACGATGACCACAACCACTCTTTACTCGACGACGACTTCCAGAATAATAACGAGAACGATATAAACACCAGCAAGTGTTCTTCGCTTGGTGAAATGGATCAGCCGCCGATTTGCGTGTCGCCAATTATGCCGATGGGCGAGGCTTCGGGGAGTGGGGGTTGTAGTAGTCGGATGGATTTTGCTAGGGAGGAAAGAGACAGAGATTGTTCTTTTCGTAATGATGGGCATATCGATGAAATCGGTAAGTCGCAAACAACAAATTTAAAAGTGTCGAATATTAAAATTCCTGAATGGTGAGCAAGTAATAAAGATAATTATAAGGTGGTGTTCCCAGTGTTTTTGTTAGTGGAGGCAGATCCTCAAAAAAATGAAAAATCAGTGTTTCAGGTCAATCTAATTAATTTTCCGCGGGCCCAAATTGTTAAGACTTAGTTACCTTTAACTTCTCCACTGGAAGATACTTTAAGTTCAGCCAGTTCTACTATTTTTTGGCACTTTTCTTAAGTGCAATCGAAAGAACTGATTTTCACTTACATTGGTCGTGATGATTACACAACCAAAGCTTGTGTTATAGTATGAACTTTCTTTTTTTCCAACCTAATGTTTTACTCATTTAGTTTTTCCCAGTAGCGTTATCGGTCATATTTTTGCTTGTGTATGCGAAGTGCAACTTCACCTCAGTGTTTTTTTTCCAGGAATTTGTTCATGCTCAAAGTTAATTTTTAGCGGTTTGGCTGATGATTTTTTTTTCAATTCTTTTCTTTTGTTAAATGAAGGCAAACTCAACTATCAAGCAGCAGAAGTGAAAAAAAACCACAAAAAACGCGAATGACTTCTAGTTTCAAAAATAGATTTCCAGCGCAAAAAATACCTATTGATCCAGTTTCTCTAAATGGGATATCTTAACGCAAAAAGTGCCAATCATAAACGGTATTCGAAATTCAGAGAGTTTAAACGTGATATATCTTCTTTGCAACTCGAAAGTTGGAAAATGTTCAAACATTTACGTTTATTTTTTTCTTGTCTTGTTCTCACACTTTTCCAACTGTCTGTTGCTTAGGTTTCGAAGTCTTGAGTAAAAGTTGTTGTTTTTTTGCGGTCCGCTGTCTTCTCTCAACTTTCGAATTTGGTACCCGTATAAAAATATTAAGGTTTTGTTGGTTGAAAATGAGCAAGATGGCGAGGGATCCTTTGGTTTTATTAAAACAAACGAGCAGATAAAAACTAAAATTGTTTCAATTAACTTTTGATCAGATTGACAGACATTGTTTAAGTTGTCATTGGTTGTTGTTCCAACCATTATCGAAGAGTGTAAAGGAGCTATGGATTAGGGTAGTTTTTGTTTTTTTCCTGCCAACTTTGACTACTTCAAGGTTATCAGATTAAAGCCATTTTTTTCTTGGTACGGATTTTCCGAAAATTTTCTCTCGGTGGTGAGAACAACTGGTTCTCGGACTAATTTAGACAAAAATTGATGACTGGCTGACAACAATTTTGACTTTATTTTAGTACTCAAAGTTTGAACGCCCTTTTTAAGTGACGTTCTTTTTCATTCTTGCATATAGACATTTGATTCAATCGCCCTGTACTAAAAAGATAACAGAAGTATAGAAAAGTGATGAAAAAAAGTTTTGTTTCTTGAATCGGTGAAGTCAGAGAATTTTGTGCTACATGTACATCAACTAGCGATTCTTGTTTCATTTGGCTTTTGAATGATTGAATATGTTTCAGGATGTTCACGAGATCTGGAATGTGTTGCGAGCTCATCTAAAGGCACGAGGCGCCTTTCGTTTGAAGCTAACATCTCGGCTATCGAGCCATGCAACAGTGCACAAAGTAGAGAAGAAGACTTTGAAAATGAACAAAACTTCGAAAATAGAGCAATGAGTTCGAGTGTCGCGGACGAGAATCCGAATCAAATGGTTCGCTTTTTATCTCTGTCTTCTATTTCCGAAGAGGAAGTTTTAAATTACGCGAGGTCGGAAAACAATAACAGTCAAATTTTAAACTCGTCACCGGTGAGAATTGGAGACGAAACTGAGAATCGAACCCACTCGGCAATCGGAGGGCGAGGGGTATCAGCGAGACTAGAAAGCACGAGGCAGATTAGCTTCGACGACGCAGCTATGATCAGTACGATTCCAGCGATCAACCCGAATGATACTTTGACCTTAACCGAAGACAGCGGTTTCGCCGCCGGGTCAAGTTCAAATGTGCAACAATTTGCACCCGCGTTATCAAGTACTCATATTGTGAATAGTCAACAGAATCAAGCGCTGCAGGGGACGTCGCAGTTCGCGACAACTGATAGTGGAATTCTGCATAGCTCGCATAACTCATTGAGTTTTCCCAATATTTCATCGAATAATGAAGCTTCGCGGAACGAGCAAAGCAATAGTAATAGGCTAAGTGAACATTCGGCAAACAGCGGAAATGTCAGTTCTGAAATTAGAGTAAGAACTGAATATAGAGATCCAATACGAGCGTCGTCACAAAATTCGCCTTGTGTGTTAAATGCGCAATCTTTGCAGAATTTGTCCTTCGTCAATGACGAATCATCACGTGATCAGACCGTGAACACAAACCTTGAAAGGGCGGCTTTGGATAAAACTTCAGCTGGCATTCGTGATCAGTTTGACGGATTTGAAATTCGCTCAAGTCCAAACGAATCTAACATCGTGACCACTAATGTTTCAGAGCCGAAAAGGGTTTCACCGAGAGATAATATGTCAGATGATTATGGTGATTGTACGCCAAAACAGAAACCGAAAGTATCAAGAATTTCAGCGACACCGGATTTAAGTGGACTCATCGCGAAAAGCTCAAAAGCGGGATCTTTTGTCCGACAAAAATCTTTTGGACGCGAGCTATTCAATATTGAATCATCAACACATATCAAAAATTCAATCGAAAACCAAAGTTCAATGAATAAGTCAAATACCGCGAACGATGCAAATAATATTTTAAACTCGACAAAAAGCTCGGTTTTAAATATTGGTCAGAAACGCTTAAGATCTGATCGACTTATAGCTAAAGAAAATGTATCTCACCAAAGTTCTAGCAGTCAGTTTCTTGGAACTGAGAAATTGATTCTAAACGAAAACAACCGAATCAATCATAGCGAGCAGATGGGAAAATTGGGTTTGTCGAGTTTTGTGCCGCTGCATGATAGTACAAACACGAAAGAGATGTTAGCAAATAAAGGCATATCTATTGACTGTTTTTCTATTTCTACTCGAAGTTCAAGTTCTTCTCAAGGTCAAAGAGGGAGCAAAATTGATTTGTCGGGAACTTTGAAAGATGTCTTGACCGACCAGTGGTGGGAGTCGCGATGTAATAAGGAAACTTAAGTGATGCTCGTTCTTGTGAAACTTTTTTCATAGGGGGATTCGATCAATAGTCCTCCTCTCCCTATTTCATAGTTTCAGAATATCATAGTGGAAAAGTGAAAAATGCTGTAAAATTAATGCAACCTGGCTTGAAAATTTTAAAAAGCTAACTAATCAGTAATGATCTTTCATTCTTCTGGTTATGATATTTTGGAGCACACTCAAGAAAAATACTTCGCTGTGCCTCATTGCTTAGCAGTAATTTGGGTCACAATTATTTGCCGCTGAATTTGTATCATCCATCAATTACGCTTTAATTTTTTTGCACTTTTTTCAATTTAGTGTTAATCTTTTGTTTTTACCAATCGTGTCAATAAGGCCCCAGTTTAACACAACGGTTTCCAGTGTTTTCTGTTCCTTTTTGACTGATTTTTTTGCTAAAGGTTTGCTGCGCCGCAGGCGGATATTTGTATAATTAGAAAATGCCAAAAAATGCCGTTTTAGCACTTTTTGAAGGTTCTGACCAAAAATTGCGTTTTTCAGCGCGCTCTAACACCCCCCCCCCCCCCAAAAAAAAACAAATTTTTTTAACCTACAGTGCGAAAAAAAACAGCAGAAGTTGAACAAACGGCAAAGAGTTCAACTAGCACAAATCTTGATTAGAAGAGAAATGTGCGGTCAAGAGGAAACAAATGGTAAGTCAATTGCACGGCTGCTACAGTTTCATAAGATGAGTCATGAAGCGAAGCATGAAATGACTTTCATTGACATGTGAATTGATGTTGTCAAATGTTTCACATCGCACATCGGAACAGTTAACATACACAATGTAAATTTGACTGTAACAGATCTGTAATTCTGAAGCGCTTAAAAATTGCTTTGTTCCTGAGAATAATGAATCATGCTATTCTCACGTCTAACTATAAATTAATTTGTGTGAATCATCGTAGGTTGATAATTTATTTCTCGCTTTTTTTAAATTTAATAATGTCATTATAATAGCTTGCATTAGTCATGGACAATTTCACCGAGTTAGCCGAGAATTTTATTGCAAATATGTTGCAACCCTCTGGTACAAGGTGCGGAAAACTTGTTTTTGATTTCGTTGATGGGCTTATTCGGCTTTTTTTAATGAAACAATTTGGAAGTTTACAAGAACAAAGACGAAAGGCTTTGCAGTTTTGATATTTATTCTCAAAGATCATTTGATGATCAGTAAAATAGTAAAATTTAAATAGCGAAACTAATTTTCAGTTTTTCTGGGTACGTTCTCAATAAATTCTAGACAATTTCCATGCTCGTTTGATTCAACACCATACATTTCTAATTTTTTAAGTTATATGAAATGGTTGAGGGTATCAAACGCTTTTTTCAGGTCAAGAAAAACAAATTATCCAGACAAATTTTTTCAGTCATTTCTGCAAGCGCATCAATAGTACTGTTGTTTACGGAAACCGACCTGTTTCACGTAAATTAAGCAATTGTTTTCGAAACACCCGTATATTCTGTTGTGCATCGCTGTTTCAAAAAATTTCTTCCAGCTGTAAGAAAAGAACTGGGTCTGTAATTATTAACGTCAAGCTTCGATCTCACTTTAAAAAGAGGGTAGATAAATGCTTGTCAATCAGTTGGGAAAGGATCACGTTTTCAATAAAATATCAATTAGCTTCTAAACTTGGGTACAATTTCCAAACGGTTTGCTTCAATAATTAAATAATTTCATCTACGTTAGACGAGGTTTTATTCTGCATCGATACAATAATTGACTCTACTTCCAAATCAGTAATAGATAGTTTAACATACAGAAACTCAACACTTCGTACTTTTGAAATGTTTTCAATGCTAACATTTTACTAGCTAGGTTAATGTCCATTGTCGAAAATAAACGGTAAGACTAATTGGCCATTTCATTATGGGAGGTAATAATTTTTTATTTGTGCATTTTATTTCATTTGAAAGTGAGTAAACCTGACTTGAATCATCAAAAAAGCTTTTCACTTTGTTATTATCCTTGCGATAGCAAGGGTATTGTAATTGAATACTAGACTTTTTTTCTCGTAACCAACTTTGTCCACTGGACTCCTAGAACTAATTGAACTGGTGTTACCTTGGTTCATAAAGAGTTCAAAATTTGAAGTCTCTCTTGCACGCTTAGCCGGGTGGTAACGAATACGCCTGGGACGGCAAAGGTCCTGGGTTGGAATCTGACCAGAATCAGTTTTTTTTTCAAACGGTAATTGTTCCGGTTTAAAAAAAGCCTTTTCTTTGTCTGCTTATGTTTTGCCGGCTTAGTTCCCACATCTAAGAATAGTTAATTTTAGCTATAAATGTTTTTAACTACAGTTGTTTTAAGCATTTAAAAAACCGGGCGAATCGAAATTTGCTTTTCACATTGGCATTGATTGTAACTTGACGAGCTCAATTTGTTAAAATTTCAATTTTTTTTTCGTCTTTTTTATCGGCTGAATAAATTTCGGCCTAATTAATAACGACTTAGTGGCATCTTATTGCGCTGTTACGTCCAAAAAGAAACTTTTATGTGCGTGTGTGTGCTTTGACGGGATTTTTTTAAAGTTTAGATGGGTTTCTGCTCGTCATGAAGGGTTTCTGCTCGGCATGAAGGGTTTATGCTCATGGTTTTTCGGCTTTGTAACAGCTTTGTAATTATAAATTCAAATCCAATCAAACCATCCAGCGCATCTGGCGTAGAGATAAAATAACTGCTTGAGATGTTGAAGATTTGCGGTTCGAATCCGGCCGGGCCCTTTTTTTGCAAACTAGACTGTGCTTTTCGGTTCATCGTCCGTCTGTTTATTTTGGTCGGCTTAGTTGTTTCATCTTTAGTCCACGATGCTGTTACCCCATGCTTGAGAAGACAAAACCTGGGAGCTCGATTCTAGTTGAGACTTGCTTTTCTTGCAAATATAAAATTTTGGCTAATTTAGATGATTGCTTAGTTCCTCAGAAAGGAATTTTTTGAAAACTTGGCTTTTGTATAGCCTTCCCAAAGCTCCTTCTAGAGTATTTATGGTGCAGGCATTTTTGTTTGGAATGCTTTGCATTCTTTTTGATAAAAATTGTTTATTGAATTTTTTCAGTTTGATTTTCATAACAATCATTTGTACTGCAAGTGGTGCGAAGCTCAGCTTCGCCTCTGTGTAGTGAAGTTGTATATTACTCCTTTGAACAGCTTGATCTGACTTCTTGAGCTAATTTATTTTTAGAACAAGCTTTATGAAATCGGTTTTGTTTTGCGATCAGATGTTTTATTTTGTTTGTCAGCGAAAGACTTCAATTTTTGCCTCGTTTTTTCAATGGTGCGAAATTATCCAATACTTCGAGGAATTTAAATTGAACATTATTGAAACATGTATCAGCTGATTTCGAGTGTTCAGAGTTATCCAATTCAAGAAGAGAGTGGGACTGAGTGATTTTGACTTCCTCGACATTTGAATTGGATTTTAGAATAGAAGTGTCACGAAAAAATTTCACAATGGATCCTTAGATGGCTCGGTATATTTTTCTAAAATAATCCTAAAATGATCGAAGAAGCTCTTGTTTTTTTCTTGACTTGTTTTTACTTGAACATTTTTTGCCAGGTAGTGATCTAAAAGGGTTTCACTGGTTGCTACTTTCTGGTCGGTTGTCTTATCATTTTAACGAACCCATTATTTTCTATAATGTCAAGATATTTAGATCTAATGTTATTGTTCTTGAGAAGTTGAATATTGCAGTCACCGTATATTTTGACTGTAGCTTTTGTTTCACCTAAAATTTCTGGTATATGATCAAGTTGATAAACGAAAGCAAATTGATTGTTTTTTGATGAATTAAAATTATCAAGAGAAACGAAAACGTTTCAACTGGATCAGTAAACTCTCAGGTATTTCGCAACTCAATTTTTTTTTTATAATCGTGACGTTTTAGTTAAAATGTATCATTACACCGCTATTGTTTTTTTCCTTGCCTTATAGATTTCTTTATCATAGCCTTCTAGTTTGTTGCTGTTTGGACAGTCACCTTCTTGCGACCATGTTTCACTTAAGCATATTAAGTCAGATGGTGACTCAAGGCTTTTGATTAGTGCTAACAATTCATCGTAGTGTTGATGCAAAGAACCTGCATTAAAGTGAGAAATATAAGCCACATAAGAGATTTGGCATTCAAATACTTTCAAGGATGGTTGCTATGTTTTGCCGAGGCATTTTCCCATAACATCAATCGGATACTGCAGATTGTTCAGACGCCTCTAATACTTTGCACGTTGTTTTCGTTTTCGAATTAAAAAAAAATTGTACGTTCTCGGGTCCATACTGTTTCCCTTCTTTCATCCTGCTTCTTGAGGTTTCAATATTGTAGTCGAGGAGCCGTCGAATCTTCGTATATTTTGATAGATTTGATGTTCTAAGACTCGTTCAGGGCTTTCTATTTTTGAAAAATATCAACTATCGCTTCTCTTCTATAAAAGCGTACTATCATTGTGCGTATGTTACTTTTTCGTCCTGAAAATACAACATTAGCACTGATTTTTGTTGTCCTGAAGTTTTTGTCTTCCATCGCCGATTTGATCGTGCTCTTCAGGAGTTCCATTGATGCGGATATTTACATGCCTATTGTACCCTTCTTACAGTTCTACCTCCGACACAGCTTTCAAATAGCACTTTCTGGTTTCTAGATTAGTATAATGCTTGACTTTATCGAGAATAATTTCTTCGATTGTTTTTGCAGTTCTTCATTCAACAGGGATTTCAATATTTTAGTACTTCTGGAAGTTACATGTCAAGGACTCTTTCAATACTACTCACGATCATCTTTTTGCTTTTTCTTCTGATATTTTTTCGGCTGGACTCAAAGCAAGACATGGTCGTTTTGTTAGAGAGAGGAGTTTGATCTTTGTATCTGAGATGAAGCTGTTTCATTCAATCGTTTCTTTAGTTCTTCGGGTTAATTTTCTGTTGTTGACATGATTGTTAATTAAGACTTAATTTATTATTAGTATTGTTCATAATTCTAGTTTTGTTCATAGTATTGTTCATAGTTTTCAAGGAACTTCATAAGAGCACAGCAATAAGCAGTACAGCATTGGTGCGACCATCAAGTAAGAAGTCCAAAATTGAGAAATGTATTTAAAAAAAAGTTTTTATTTTTGAGTGAGAATAAAAATTTTTTTTTTCACTTATATAGGTGTTGACTTTTTTTTGGTTCTTTTTTTTTCCAGGAAAAAAAATCTTAATTTTTTTTGCAAGCTGAAATTTGATTTTTCGCTGAAGTTTGATTAATTTTAAGTTCACTTCAATTCCTCTGTTAAATGAAGGCAACATCGGAATTAAAAAGTTAAATATTGATCCAGTTTTCTCTGAATGGGCTAACTTTACGAAAAAAGTGCCAATCAAAGCAGTATTTGATATTCAAAGACCTTCAAGAGCGCAATATTCTTTTTTCCGAAAGTTGAAGATGTTCAATCTTTTTCAATCATTTTTTTTTGGGTTTTCTTGTTCTTTTACACTTTTGCAATCTCTTGTTGGCTATTTTTAAAATGTGTTCCCTAAATTTCTTGATTTTATTGTAACTAAAAGGCGATTGAAAGAGTAAAAAAAACTGCCAATTTTGATGTAATATTACCAAAATCAAATCGAGAATTCAGTCTTTCATCGTGTCATTGGCAAGTTTCGCCTCATATAATCTTTAAAAAAGGAAAAACTCCGAATCAAGACCAAGACTTTAATATGATACCACTGGAACTAGTACGAGTTTTTCTTTAGGTACTTCAATTTGGGCAGAAAAAAGACTCCCTGCGCGATAGCTCCGTGTCGTAAAATGATCAGAACAATAATATTGAACTTGTTAAGGATTTTCATATTTGTTCTAATCGATTTGTAATTCGGTTTTTGACTTCATAATACTGGCCCGCTGAAAGAAGCATGAACACTGCAAAGATATAAAGTTGCGTTCGTTTATAATTTCAAGATATGTTATGAATTTCACGACCGAAGCTTGGGATCATTTTGAATGATCGATATTGATGTTATCCAATACTTCTAGAGAGATCTCTAGCTTCAAGTCAGTTGTATGAGGTGTAATGACAACCACAGTTCTGAACAGATGTCCATTCACCCTGTCCATGGTAGCTGGGATTGGACTAGGAGCCGTTGGAATCTCAATCTACTGTAAGTTTTTCTGCTAAAATTTTATACATCAACTCGTCCTAAGCGTTTGCCAAACACATTAAAGACGTTAGGTCTAGTTTAATCGGCTATTTTTCTAGGAGAGCTTAAAAAAAACTTTTTGAAAATGTATACCAGCCAGGCAAAATGACCAATGCCTCTACTGACTATGATCGATCGAAACTGGAATCTGTTGGTGTGAAGAATTATGCTTAGTTTGAATGGCTTCAACACATGTAGTGAGGAAATATTGAGTTCAACACTGATGCTTAAAACTCGATGTGCTTTTTTTTAGTGTTGGGTAGAAGCAAATCATCAACTTGGCACCAGGTTGGAACAGTGTACACTATCAAATTGTACCCCATCAAGGGTCTTCCTGGATTCCCAGTTGGTGGTCAGGATGACTCATCCTCGTCACCCCCAGTAGAAGTGACCCCCCTGGGACTCAAGTGTGGAAAACTGAGAGACAGGTTTCTCTTTTTCACATCTTCAGTTATGATTTAACGTGAAGGTGGTAATGGACCCCCTGTACTAGTTTACGACATCCATATCTGGTCGGATCAACCTTTAAAAGTTCCTACAAAAAGATTGAGCGCCAGTATTTAACATGGACTATGGGGGACGTGGAGGGTGGAGTGGTGAGAAATTTGATAGTTCAGTAACAATTTTGAAGTCGTTCTGTTGCTTAGAACTTGAATTGGTTCTAGATGTTCCAACCACTTCACGACATGGGAAGGAACCACGTCATAGAGTCAAAGTGAAAGTTCGAGGAGAAACTGTATCATTTCTTGTAGTTTTTTTAGAAATGGTTTCCTGAGCTGCTTGCCTAGCAACCTGTTTTTTCCCGCATTATGTTTTTTGTTGCCCTTGACCATATTTCCTTTTTAATTACTCCCTTGGACCTTGTGTCCGCGGAGCGATATCGTCCATTTCGCAATAGCTGGTCTAACTACAAGGAGGCGGATTACCTGACTGCTTCAACTGTGACCAAAGTAGGATTCGAACCCACGATCTTCTGTTGCTTTTAGGTGTTTCGTACTGGGTCGTTTCACCTCCTCTGGCTCGTTTGAGTTCGTTAGTCCTAGAAGTCTTCCCAAGATGTGGCTGGTGAAAGTGAGACCGACTGAAGACTATTCAGCTGTGCTTGTGGATGCCCCTGGAAGGGATCAGATAAAGATTGATTTTCCACAACCTGATCAGAGGTCGGGTCTTTCCCGTTCTAGCCCCCTCATTAGATTTAAAAAACCCAAAATACAGAATTAACTTAATTAAGATTGATCCAGGGTTCTCTAAATGGAGTGTGGAATAGCTTTCTCAAAAATGCCAGTCCTAAAGCATTCTTGAAAATCGAAGAGCTTAAACGTGGTTTATTTTTTTTCTCTCCAAAATTCGAAGTTTCCGATCAAGTTTTTTTCGGTTCCCTGGTTCTTTCACACTTTTCAAACAATATGTTGGCTATGTTTAAAACTGGTGTACACTTAAAACTTTTCCCTTCTTTATCAGTTTTGATTGATCAATTGTTTGATCGTTATGATTGATGAATTTTTCCAGCTCTCATGTCAAGGTCGAAATCTGGAGATCGACAGCCGCAGCACTCCTTTGCTGTGACAATAGTGTGAACAAGTGGTTTTCCACCTTTCTAGAAAAGGACAATCTTCTGTTGGCATGCGGTTTGGACTCAACTGGCAATTTAATCTCTCCGAGAAACCCCCATAGTAAAAAATCGATGAGCTGCGGTTGCTTGATAATATTGAAGCTCGCGGTTGCTTGATAATCGGCAAATTCTCTGAAGGTCTATGAAACAAGTTTTCATATTGGAAGTATTTTGTACAAAATTGTCAATTTCAAACAGTTTGAAGTTGCTATTTATATGTTAACTTGGGTTATATTGTTTCGAGAAATTGGAAACACGGAGATTTTTTATTGTTTTTCTTAGGAAATCTTCAAATTTTTCCACGCTCAGATTTGATTTGCAGTAGTTTGACTTTTTTAAGCTCAGTTCTTGTGCTTTGTTAAAACAAATGCAAACTCCGCTATCGACCAGTAAAAAAGGAAAAGGTTGCGAAAAGTTTGAATGATTTTTAGTTTTAATAATGGACTATATTTTTTTTACTCCCAGCGGAAGAAAAAAAACTTTCCTATCCTTTTTTTTCCAAATTTGATAATTTATACAAAAAAATTCTGATCCTAAACAATTCTTGAAATTCAAAGAGCTTCCACGTGCTGAATGCAAAGAGCTTTAATGTGTCAACAATCGGAAATTTTTCCATCAAAATTCGAAAATACGCCGGTTCTCAAATAGTTATTATACTGTCTTTAATAAAGCCTTCAAAGTTTGACATAGGAAATCTTTTGCAGTCCTTGCGTTTGTGGTTTCATTGAAATTTTGTTGCCCAGCCTAGAACCGAGATTCAAAATTGTTGATTACACTTGCGAAGCTGGTGTATTAGTACGAACCTTCTATTTTTTCAACCTAAGTCGCAAATATTGGTGCCTCTTTTGGGACACCCTTACAGCTTTTTGATAGCATGTGCTTTGACATTCGAATCGTAATAAGTTAACACAGTTGACGTATTTTTAATTCATCAAATGAACCGAAAAAAAAGCTATTTGTTTCAAACAACATCACAATAATAAAAACTCGATTTCAGAATTTTTTAAAACTCAATATATCTCTCAATTTTTTGAAATGCATAATTTATACATACTGTGGCTGTATGCTTTGCGATTTGTTACATACAAAGGTAGTGTGGATGTCTTCAGTTTGTTATATTCCAAATTGTTACTTGCAAAGTTGAGTCTTTTTATATTCTGTGCTGAATGGCATTGGCAATTTATTAGCATATGTAGCTGCTTTATTCGTGACTACTGTTTGTCGGTTGTTAAGCTTGTGGTGAGGGGATAGTGCGTGAGACTCAAAATCTCTTGATTGCAGTAGGTCGCAGATTGGAATCCTACACGTTGCCAAGTTTTTGCTAATTCGAGCCTTTTTTCTACCTTTTTCTTGTTTAACTTGATAGAGCGGCTTTTGGGCGTGTTTTCACAAGTGTTTGCGAAGCGCAGCTTCGCCTCTTTGTTAAAAAAACTGGGTATATTGCTTCTTATTTTTTTCGAAAGAGAAATTTCGTCTTCTTCTTGTCTCGTTGTCAATATCTAGGGATGCCGGTATGAGAGCGCCCCGTTCGGCGCAAATTCTACATCAGATCGATGGTCTTTTTAAGAGCTGATGGCTTACCCAAGGGAAACTAACCCGGACATCTCGGGTGTGACAGTTCGAACTTAAACCCACGAAGTACTGTTTATTGTTATGGTAGCGTCCCCTACTATATTGCTTTCTGGTGCCCAAGTTGTTGCGAAAGTGATGTAGATGCATTTCACTGAACCTAATTTTTAGTTCCAAATTTGTTTCAAGATCTAAAATTTTAAGAAAAGGAACATCACTTATGCTGATTAGCTCATTGCGACTTATAAATTCTACCTTTTTGTTGGGAGCTAAGTGCATTTTGCTCGGTTGGTTTGTTGTTTGGTCTAATTTATATTGATCCATCCTCAAGAAACAAGCTAGGATCATGATTTTTCCAACCTCTTGACTTCAGTTTCCGTCACTAACTACTAGGACCAATCAGTGTATTTGTTCCACAGATCCTAAGTTTGGTAAATACGCTCCACAAGACATGCAGATTCTATTCAGTGATGGTGCGCCTCTCCTATTCGTGTCTGATGCCTCCCATCTAGACGTTAATCGGAGGATTGAATCCCAGGGACGCAAATCTCTTAATATACAATGCTGGAAAGCGAACATAATTCTAAAGGTAATCTTTATTTCCGCTGATCAAATTTGTTTATACAATTTTCGTGGCATCCAAAACCAAAAAAAACTTTGGAGGCATGTAAGAACCCAGACTCTGAGGTTTTACTTGCCTGCAAAGTATTTCCTTAGTTTTGACGGTGATAGACTAAAAATATTTGTTTCTAAAACAATGACCTGCCTCCAAAATCTGCAAAGAAAAACACTTCTCAAGGTATCGCAAGCCACAAAGACTTGACATATCACAGTTTCGACAACATATGATGAATTTCAGTATTTCTTTCCGGTTTTTTAAGCAATACGAATGTCTGAAATGATTCGAATTGTGACCATTGAATTTTTACCGGTCGACTGTTTCCCGACCGAAACATCTGTTCGCAAATTTTTCTTTCTACCAGAGCGAAAACCAACTTCCCTTTGCGGAAGACGAGTGGAGTCGTGTCAAGGTAGGATCGGAGGAGAAGGGGGAGCTGGGAGGCGAGAAAGGAGGGGACGGGGTTGTTTTCGAGAGACTGAGACCCTGTACCAGGTGTACAGTGACTAGAGTGGATGCCGAGACTGGTCAATATAGAAGAGACGAGGAACCACTCAGAACCCTCAGGTGATTAGTTGAGGATATTTTTTTCGTCGTACCCCATTAAACGATTATATCTATTTTAAATAAGGTTGAACGTTGAATGACACTTTTCCAGTTACGTTCAGTCGTCATTCACGTACAGCCTTATAGATCTACGCGGGGAAGAAAAAAATTGTTTACAAAGTTTTCGAGTGAATAAGTTTTCCATTTTTACTTTTATAACGTAAATGAATTCTAAGCTTTACAAACGGTCCGTCTACATTCAATCGAGTAATTAATTAGAGATCCATGAAACTGATGTTTTTTTGCAACAAATGGCGTTTTTGAAACAAAAAGCATAAATTTACTTCTTGAAACCGCTTAAACTGAGCTTGAATTTTTTGAAATATGTGAGGCACTTATTAGAAGTTAATGAACGAACCAAAGACAATTATTTATCTTGTATCGATCAGTTTTTTTTTGGTAATTTTAAAGTTGAATTTGTTTAAAGAAAAATTCAAACATTCTTTTCGGTCTAGTTGAGTTCTTTGATGCTTATCCAACTCTCTGAATTTTTTAATGTTATAATTGCTTCGTTTCGGAACTTTTCGGTTAACGGAGGAGTTTGGGAGTGACCCTCTGTTTGGATCTCTGTTGTCGCCACTGCTCTGTGGACCAATCTCAGTTGGAATGCCAGTGTATGCAATCAAACAACCAGTCAATTCTTGATCTTCGTTTGTGCAACAGAAAACTGAAAGTCACCATTATTGCCAAAACTTGGGCATCAACTATTATGTAACGAGGTAATTTGCAGTAAATTTGCAGTACGATGAAAACTAGTGTGTAAGTTAGCTTTTTAAAGATTATCCTGAAAAGTACATAACATAATCTCTGGTATTTTACAAAGCGTCCGATGTAAAAGAGATTCATAACATTCATTAAATCAGATTCCAGAAAAGCCAGTGATAGTTTTCTGTAAAGATTTTTGTTACTGCAGTTATTAAGTGCAACAGAACGAAGTGTTTTTCACTTATATATGTCGTGTTGACTTTTTTCAGGAAAAAGTCTTAACATTTGTTCATGTTCATTTTTTTCGCGGTTAGACGCTTGATTTCTTATAAAGTTCATTTCAATTTTTTTGTTGAGAAGAAGGCGACCTCCACAATCAAACAGCGAAAGAGTAAATTTAATGAAAAACTTAATCGACTTCTACAATCGAAAACGGAACTCAGTGTTCGGATTTCCCAGCGGAATAATAAATTACCTACTGATCCAGTTTTTTTCTAAATGGGTTAACTTTACGAAAGAGTTTCCAATCATAAATCGTATTTGAAATTCAAAGAGCTTTAACATGGAATATAAGATGAAAAATGTTTCAAAAAATTTCAATAAACGTTTTCGGGTTTTCATTTTCACACTTTTCCAACTGTCTATTTGCTATGGTTTAATATTTAGGTTTATGAAATGTTGGTTTGTTTCATAAGTTTTTGTCAACTATTTGATTACACAAGTGAAGCTTGTGTTATAGTATGAACTATCTTTTTTTCCAACCTAAGTGGCAAATATTGTTGCGACGCAAATAAAAGTATATTAAAACCGACTATTATCGTTCCAACTATTATTGTAACGGAATATTTGTGCTCGGGGTGTTTTTTTTGACAAATTTCGAATTTAACTGCCATTTTTGACGGGATTTTTTAAATATCATTCAAGAAGTTGTGTATCTTGAGCTTAAATTTGGAAAAATGTTTCACCTTTGATAATTTTTCGCAACGTTATGGATGTTTAAAAATTGCCATTTTGGCCAATTTGGGACAATTAACGCGCGATATAGTTCGCGCTATTGACGCGTAAGCGGAGATTTAATCAGTCATAGAAGTTGGTTGAAGGAAGCTTATTTGCCATAATTGATTTGTTACTAGGAGCGAAATTTCTCACTTTGTACTTGATATCGCGTGTTGGGGGATGATTCTCACAAAAAAAATCAAATTAAAAAAAATTAATTTTATTTTTTTCTAAATTTAGTTTTTTCTAATTATTTCTGCTCCATAGACTGCTCTATAAATTAGGGCATGTTGGTTGGAAAAAATTTTTTTTTTCAAAATGTTTTGTGTTGCTAATGCGTCATAATAAGTTGTTTTTGAGAGAGTCAGACCGTGCATCAGGTGTACAGTGACTAGAGTGGATGCCGAGACGGGTCAATATAGAAGAAACGAGGAAGAACTCAGACTCCTCGGGTATATACTCAGATCAGTTGATGCACTTACTGGTGTAAACGTTGGTTGCCAACTTCCAATTACGATTTATGATAAATTGTGATATGTTTTGTTTAACATAAATTGTGTTGAGCCATTCGTGTTAAAGAAAGCTGTAGAAGCTTGCTTTTCGATTGCGTCTTTTAATCGAAAAACATGAATACATGCCAGTTTTATTGAAATTTAGACGCACTGAATAAATCGTTATACCCTACGTAAGTTGAACTTTCCTTTTATAATTCACAGTTTGAATTCGGGAAGTGAAAAATACAGTTTTCTTATTTTTTTTTGTTAATGAATACTTAATTTAAGCTTTAGTGTTCTTTTTGTTCTTAACAATTTTTCCCCAATTTTTTTTTTCATTTAATTGCCGCCGCGGAGTTTCTTTTGCCAAATTTTCAATTATATTGGCTTAAATAAAGAACTTTTGTTAGTCAGCATAAAGTTTGGATAATTGATGAATCTAGCTTGCTTTATAACGGAATCATGTAGGATTTGCGCTAGGGTTTTCGTAAATTTTTTTGTATATGTGATGTTTTTTCTTGGCCAATCAATTGATTTTGTTATTCTGCATTGCACTCGTAATTGAACAGCCAAATTTCTGTTTCTGAGCTTTTTTGGAAGGTATTTTTGGATTTTTTCAAGAAAATGCTATTTGTTTACCCTCAATAATTTAGTTCTTCAGTTTGAAATTTGAGCTCTTCCTTGGATTGAAACCAATTGCTAAAGAGAAGGTAAAGTACGGTCTTCGATAGCAAAAGTTAAAGTAATGCAAAAAATTAAAATTGTTTCTGCCACAAATTTATTTTTTATAAAAATGATGGAGAACACTCGATGAATAAAATATTTTCACTAAAACAGTTCACCGATTTGCTTACTGTGACTGTTGAATACGCTTAGTTTCTAGGTTTTCGTCAGATCATTTTATCACGCAACGCTCAAAAACAACACTCTTGTTCCCAATAGAGATTTAAAGGCAGTAAATTAGGAAAGTAAAACAAGAACTTAACTGCACAATAAAAGAACTTTGAAGATAGTCAAACAGAGAGACTTTTGCTGTGCGGCTTACGCTACTGACCGGAAAAATAAACCGACATTTCATAACCGGGTTTGAACCCCTCTCCCCCACCAAAACCGTTTTGTTTTTAATTGTACGTAGAATTCTTTAATTTAGTTCATAAAACAGCCCTCGCCGGGGGCTATTCACATGCGCGAAGGACCGAATGCGCGAAAAAACTTGTGAGCAAATGACCGAAAATAAAATTAGCCGAAAGTCAAATTTTAAAAAGAAGCAATTGCCATTCAATTCAATGAAGCAATATTTTTCTTCTTTCATAACGAAACTCTTGAAATATAAAGTTTGTTCCAATTTGGCGGCGTCAATGACAATTTGGAAATTTTGCAGATTTCTGCCGTTTTTGAAATCAGCCAATATCAATACTCATTACCTAAAAATGTTTACTTTCTTTCCAAATTTTAGATTACTGAAATCTGATTGGCTGATTTTATTTTTGCGCATTCGGTTCTTCGCGTATGAGGGATTCCACTTCTTGGCCGACCTTGATTGACAGGTCAGGTTTTCGTCTGTCAAAACCGTGTTTTGCCTAAGTTTGTTAAACAAAATACATGCGTTATATCGGAACTGTATGAAGTTGTTTGATGAATGAAAAAGTTTGCCATTTTTTAGCCTTTTTGAGCCAAAAAAGGCCGGAATTTTAATGAAAGTGCACGAAATTGAATGAATATGCTGATATTTTTAAATATAGTTTTGGACGACAACTTTTCATCAGCACAACTGATTTGAAAAAAAAAGTTTTGGAAAAAGTTTTTTTCAAGGTTTTTAAAGAATATGGTCGGAACACTCTGTTGTACTAGCCTAGCAACCGGCTATCCTTGTTGGTCTTTGTAAATGTCTTTGTAAATTAACAAGCAAAACACGCTTTTTGTCGCTATGAAACTCCAGTTTCGAAAATAAACTTAACAAAAGATTTCGGTATTTATGCTCTCCAAAAAAATCCCGCTTTGGAAACAGAATTTGCAATTGGGTTAGCAGTAACTTTTTTGTTGGTGATTTGTTTATAGATTTAGTTCCTTAAAAAATGACAATTAACTATTTTCAAAAACACTTTTGCTGCAATTTTCAATTTACAATATTTACAAATTACACAATCAAATCGGATAGAATTGGCCCATTTTTGATGTTTTCTACGTATGGGAAACTTAGATTTGAAAAAAGTTGATTTATTTTGTATAGTCGTTTTCAGTGGAGTTATCTAAATTATTAAAAACTAACACTAATGATGTTTCTGAACTATGAGTAAGTGTTCTTTGTAATTATATACAGATAAAGTTCCAGTTTTTTTTTTCATTTTTTTTCCTCCGAAATTTTGATTGTCCATTTTTCTTTGCATATCCAGTTGGGCAATCTACCAAGCTCGTGGAGCCCTGAAACAATTGAAAACTTAGTTTGTAGTTGAAAATAAGCCATAAGTGAATCGTTTGGAGGAGCTGTGATTATTTATGCTGCATATTTTTTAAACTTTTCGATTCTACTTAAAAGGTTCAAAAAGCTCCGGCTGACATCCGTTGATCATATTTTTTATGCTTGTATGTCACTCACGTCGAAGTTACACTCAAAGTTGGGCAAATCTTGGCAAATTTCGATTGATTTTGTGATAAAATTATGCTCAAACTGCCAACCACCAATCGAACCGATCCTAATTTTTTCCGATGACTACTCAAATCATTTAAGTCTGCGCCCGAAGTGTATAGTTTGTGCAGGGCATATGTAATCAATTCTACGGATATTTTTAACAATCCCCCTATGGTTACTTCTTAAAAATTGCCACTCCTGTAAATAAAAACAGGAAATGACCACTTGAGCTTTCTACTAAGAATACTATTTTTGCTGCATCCTGATTGGGCGAAAATTCGACTTACTAAATCTACTTAACAATACCCTTTTCTTGAAGTGGAATCGTTAATTGATCCAAATCTACAAATATAAGGCCGTTATGAAATTTTAGGATCTACGTAACAATCCCCCCTCCCCTTTTGAGAAAGGGGGACTGTCAAGTAGAATAAAATGGTCGAGTTTTCGACCAATCACAACAAAGCTAAATCAGAATTCGCAATAGAAAGCTCTGAGCTATTTTACTATTTATTCAAGTGGTGGAGATTCTTAACTAGATGTCATAGGGGGGAGATTGTTAATTATGTCCTAATTTTATTGCCTTAGTCTCAAAAAATAACGGTCGAGGTCTGAGTACGTTGTGGCTTAGAAATACGTTGTCGCTTAAACGGCCGAGAAGTAGAACTGTTTGTGAGCCGTAGCAATCTTTTTTTGTTACCGTTCGAACATCCCCGAAGATCAGCTTCGTATAGAAAATGATAGTTGGCAAACAAGTCGAAGAGCCAGCGAACTAAAAATAAAATTCCTACAATCAGTAAAAAGAGAAAATAATAGAATATAATGGATTTTTATTGTCAGTCTCAATGAATTTCCAAAAGAAATGATTATGATCGATTAAAAATCAATTACATTGTTACTATTCTTCGAAACAATAAAAATCGATATAATCGATTATAATCTATTATTTTATGAAAGTTTTTTTCTAAAATTTTTTCAATTATAATACATTATAATGGATTATAATTCGTTATTATTCAGCAAACGTCATCGCTTCTTTTTGTTTCAGTTTTGTTTTGTTTCGTCTGCTTTTCAGTTGGTTACCGAACTAAAAGAAGCTGTAATTTTGTACTTATAGCCACCAGCGGATTTAGGAAAGAGGCGTCGGGTAACCGACGCCCTCACCCCCCCCCCCCCATCCCCCACCCTCAGGTATTTGACCCTCTGCCGACCCAAAAGGTCTCCCCATTTTCCCCTTACCGTTTTGAGGTGCCCCCACTATTTTGAGATATCCATTTTTGGCTTACTGACCCTAAAATTTTTCAACGGCGCCTAATATATAATAATTTTGAGGGGGTTGCTCGCCGGACAAAAGCACTTTTTTGATCAAATGTTTCCAAAAGGTGCCTTAAACCACCTTTTTTGGCTCGTTTTTTTTTCTCAAAAAATTGCCTGCGGCGCATATATTTGATAAAAACGGTCTTTTTAATGCCTTGGGAGAGCTTGCAATCAATCTAGTCAACCTTTATAGGGTTTAGGAGACCCCTCCCCCTCGCGAAAATCCTAGATCCGCCCCTGGTTTACTGATTCTTACTTCTTACTAATTTTTACTGTGTTGTCATGCAGAATATCAAAATTATAATCCATAATGTTTGATTTTTCTGGTGAAATAAAATTTTGATAGAAAAAAGAATATAACTTTTTATAATAAAATTTAATAAATTTTTGGAAAAGATATAATCAAGTATAGTCGAGTATAATTTATTAAAATGTCACCAAAAAGGTCATCATTATAATGGATTATAAATCGACCTAGAAATGGCGCTTATAAGTAATTATAATTTTGCTAAAAGTACTATTATAATTCTAATATAATCGATTATTTTCTTTTTTTACTGAGTGCGGGTTACCATTCCAACAAGCCGAAAATTAATATTATTATGCAACCTAACAACAGATTGCCACTGTTGTTATGCAATTGTTGCGTAATTATTGTAATTTACGGAAGTCTGATGTAAATTCGACAATTTCAAGATATGGAGTTTTGTTAATTTGGTGGTTTGATGGTTATCCGCCGAAAAAGTTAGTACTTGTTCAGTAATAGTAATGTTTCCGTAAAATTGCAGTTTAGTGCCAGACTCTGAACAGCATCCCCTTTAACTCTGATTAAATTATGAAATTAGAGATGAAAATTATATTACTCCAATGATACTGATTCTCTATACAAAAACAGAACTGCATTGATCTTGATTCTGTACTGACACATAGTACAAATCAAAAGTTAACAATAAAACTTAACAATGAGAAAAAAAACTAACTTATCCAACTTGGGTGGAAGATTGTCTGCTGGTTTTGCCTTGAGTGTCTTCACTATCTTGTACACAGCAAACACGCATGCTGCAATTATGCATGCCCCCAATAGAGCGATGATTCCAATTATGGCTCCTCCGATGGTCGGCGTCTGCCCCAGTAATTTTTCCTCAGCTTAAATGACAAAAAAATATATATTTCTTAAAATTAAATTTAAATGGACTCCTGCGAATTTATTGGCTCACAATTAAATTGAAACTAAAAATTTTGCTCAATTTACGTGCAGATTTTATTGGCAAACATCAAAGCTTGCCCTAAAATGTTTTGCTGTAACTTTTTTTAGATCTGGTTTAATTTTAGACAGCAAATTTTTTCACTGCAAAAGTCGCATAATTCCTTGCACGAGATATAGCTGTTTAAATAAGCTGACTATGAATACCTTTACAGACGGGGTTCGAATCCCGCTGTTTTCTTTTTCAATGCTTGTGTTCTTACAAGGCTTACATTCATGCTCTACTGAACTTCAGAGCTTATTTCAATAGATTTGCACATGTGTGTGGCTCCTTTTGCGATCTATTTTTCTGCGAAGTGAAAAATTACGATTAAAACTTGGAGTAAAGTTGTCGAATAACTTAGAATAAAATTTGCTAATTGCTGAAACCCAAACTTATTTTGTATCCACACACTTCCGTGATCTAAACCATTAGTTACTCCATGTTACTAGTTTGATTGTCATGCACAGTTTTGGCAAAACATTGGTTACCTCATTAAATTGATTTTTATGTGACCAAATACGCACAAATCATAAAATATTAGCGAGGTGAAGTTTCAATTTCTGCAAAAAATGATGTTTCGGGATTGATTTTCCATTTTATAGCAAAATTTTACCCTTTCGTTGATTTTTATTTGAAATTTTTAAAAGAATGTTTTTTTTCTTCAAGTTAAAGCACTTATGCTAACTGAAAATTTGAAACCAGACCATCGTGAAAGTTTTGCGCCACTAATACAAGATTTTGAAATTGACAAGGTATACAACTGGTTTGTTTTGGAATTTCTTTAGGAAAACAAGACTAAAAAAACTTTAAATTCCGCTATCAGATGTAAATCCAGAATTTCAGTAAAATTGAGGTAAAATTTAATTTTATCAAGTTTGACTCGAAGACAAACTAAGCATGTAATTGATTAATTATTTGACATACTGAAAATCAAACCATGACAATTTGACAATGTTAAAGAAATTAATACTAAACACTAAGTATTCTGGTGGCCTTTTTATTGAATAACGATAGTTTTTGGTAAAAAAACTAAAAAACGATCCATTTTGACCAGGGGCGGATAAAGGATTTTCTCGAGGGGGGGCGGATTTAAAAAAAAATTCGAAAATTTTGACGACCTTTTTTTTTTAGGTTTAGGTCGACCAAATTAGTTTTTCGAGCTCTGTTTTGCCCCTATTTTGGCAAAATTTTCTGCGCCGCAGAAAAAACAGTCAAAAAAGCCGATTTTGGGCACTTTTTGAAAAATTTTGACAAAAAAATCGTGTTTTTTTTTTGGCGCGCACTCCCCTCAAAGTTAGTATATTTTGGCGCCAAAGGCGCTTTTAGAAAAATTTTAGGATCGGTCGGTCAAAAATGGATTTCTGAAAAAGTATCAAAGGGTGGACCCTTTGGGTCGGCAGGGGTCGAATCCATGAGAAGGAGCGTCCGCCCCCCCCCCCCCCCCCCGAAATCCGCCCCTGTTTTTGACTATCAATATTTAAGTTTTCAAGTGTTGAAATTTAAATCATGTAAAAGCAAAATAAAGACCAAAAATCTTGACGTTAATTCTAAACACTTTTCTGTGCGAATTATTACACTTGCGAGATAAACTGTCTTGAGCGGAACCTAGACTTTTTTCACGTAAACTAAGGTTTTAAAAAATTTTTAACTTATCAATTAGCGATTCTTCAAAACTTCCAGGATCCTTCCCACTTGCCCTTGAGGTACTGCCGTCGCCTTTGAACCCTAAGATCTGGGGTCAAATCTCGGCTTAATGTTCTCATTACAATCTTTTGGACTGTAAGCAGCTTTCATTCTAGTTGCTATTGCAATTCTTGTTCATTGTAGTTTCAGGGGGTGGGACTTAAAACTTGAAAAAAAAAATTATAACACGTTTTTTTCGGCACAACTCATGTCAGCTCAAAAATTGTCTTGTCTGCGTTTTTTCGTCTTCGTAAGGGTTTTCCGTTGCACTTTTAATATTCAATATGTTCGGTATGTTTGCCTAGAATGATTTTCTCTCAAGAAATACGAAATCTTAAGTTTTGGTAGAACTCATTTTTTAAACTATTTTCTTTTTTTTGACGTTTTGTATCTATTATGTTTGTATTGCGTCGCAAGTAGTGCAAAGCTCTTCTTCGCCTCTGCGTGTAATTCTCATTACCTCTATTTGACAGGGATTGCTTTCCAACTGCTTTGCAAACATTTTTGGTAACATTCAAAAGATATAATATAAAAGATTAAACGAAAAAAAAATTAGGTGCAGTTTTCAAAAAAAGTTTAAGCTTTTCATATAGTAATTGCAACACAATTGAAATAAACATTTGAAGGTTGTTTGATTTTTTTCAGTACCAAAACCGAATTCTCGATAAATTTCGAAAAACCGAGCCCATTCTTCATTATAACACATGAATACCATGCAGAAAAGTCTTCCATGCAATATTTAAAGGCTCTTTTTGATTCGCAACGGAACTCGAGGAACCGAACAGTGTTTAAATATCTGCGGGCTGCCATCTATTTGAAAACATTGGAAAACATTGGAAATATTTTGGCTTGAGAACAAGTTTCTATTGCAGATCTGAAGTAAAGCCTCAAGTTTCCAGGGTCGTACTGAAAATAAGTGTCGTTTATCAGACAGGGTTTGCCGGTCATTATAGCTGAGCCGAAGCAGTGTGACAATTTCGTCAAATTTCAAAAAAAACAAGCGAGGGCATTTGAGTTGTTCAGTTTATGATAGGCAATGGCTTTGAAACCCTCATTGACAAAGCATGCAAAAATTGTTTTATTTTTTGTGAGCACTAGGAAATGTTTTCTCAAAAAATTTCATGCTAAGAACATGGATCATGGTTATCTTCAAGCGATCTTTCTTTATTCGCCCAAGAGACGGAAATCAAAGTCATCACGCTATTGTTAACTCAGTAAAAAATAACTATCTTTTTTTCTTCATTTAAAGATACCACTTTTTCATGTTAGATTCAAATCTCAAACTTGTTAGAGGATGTTAACTTGATGCAAACTGTTTTCTTACGTCCAAGTGGGTTGTGTATGTATTCAGTTGGGTTCGAAGGGTATCCTTGATAGTAATTCACCACCTGAAAACATACAATCAGACACATAAAACAGCCAAAATTTAAAAATATGAAGGCGAACTATATTTCAAGAATGATTGTCATCTTAGAGCCTCTGCCGTAATTCAGGCTTAAAACAACTAAACATTTGTGTTAGTGTCGACAAAAAATGCCAGTCATTGTGTTTTTCAGACTAATTTACGACAGGTTGTTTCTGCGGATTGTCCTCCATCTCACTTTACCAGTAATTCAACTTTGTTTTAACAATACTTTCCGGTTGCTGTGCAAGTAATTCAGAAAAAAAACGGTTAGTCACAGTATATTTTTTTTTATGAAAAAGTTTTAAAAATTTATTCTAGCTGTTTTATGAGGTTTTTGGAGGAGTAAAATTCAACTCCAGTTGATTAATCCACTCCTCTGGAGTTGCATTTTACTCCTCCCAAAACCTCATAAAACAGCTAGAATGTATAAGTTTTTTAAACTTTTTCAAAAAATATACTGTGACTAACCGTTTTTTTCTGAATTACTTGCACAGCAACCGGAAAACACTCGTTTCAAAAAAATAGCGCTCGTGTTCGACTTTGTTTTTGATATATAATACCAGTAGTTTTTTTATCCTTACTAACCACAATATTGTTTTGCAGTCCCCCGTCAAGTGAGTCGATCTCAATGGTCTGGTTGGTGGTAGTGTACGTCCTTATCCGATCAACCAGTGGGCCGTCTCTGGTAACAAAAAAGACACCAATCAAAAGAGTTCAGTTCAATTAGTATTGAAAAACGTGCGTCGGAAAATATTTACAAAATTTTTTGATATTACCCCTTCTGACGCGAAAATCTTATACCTGCTCCTGGTAATAGTTTAAAGAAAAAATGTATCTTAAAATCGGCAAAATGTTTCGCTCAATTTCTAAAATGCACAGAAGATGTGAAAAAATGCAGACTCACTCCCGTCAGGGATTTAGGGGATGACGTCTTTCCTTCCCCTCATGGATTCTACCCAAAAATAAACAAGACCACTTTGGCACTATTGACATTCATTTTTTGTTGATCAAACCTAAAATTGTTCTAAAGGAGCTTTCGGCACTAATACACACTAATTTGAGGGGCGGGTTTTTTTTTGCATTTTTATACAAAAAACTCGCTTGTGGCAAAGAAAGTCAGAAAGGGTCTTTATCGTGATTTGTTAGAACCTATGAAATCAATTGGTCGACCTAAAAAAAGTTCGATCGAAACATTTATAGAAATCTACAGCTAAAACATTTTTTATAGAAGTCGACGTCCTCGAGAAAATCCTAGATCCGCCCTTGCTTCAGATGATTATACCTGTTGTGTGGCGTGACTGTGACGTTGAAGTAGGTTGAGCCGCCCTTTTGTGTCCATGCGAGTCTAGTTGTGGTCGAGGTAGTCTCGACAACAGAGAATGTCACCTCTTGGGGATCTACAAGCAACAAAGCAACAACAGTTTGAAAGTGTAATCGAACAGTATGACTCAACAAATTTCAAAAAGGGGGAGGGGGTTCGAAACCAGGAAAGTGTTTATATTCTGATTCAATGGTTTAGTTCATTGGATGTTTTGTAATTTTGTAATTTTTTTAAATTTAAAAATCTTATTTTTATTCAAAATTTTGGCGCCAATAATTAACGAAATTTTGCAGATTTACTTGAAAGCTGTGCATCAAAACGTTTTTGTGATTCATAAGAAAAGTTTCGATTGTTAAAAGCGCGAATACTTATATATGTACAAGGCGGATGGTTTTGACTCCAAAATTTCCGCATTCGCAGTTGGTTTTCATACGCAGCCAGCACAATCGGGCTCATCAAAATTACAAAATCGATTGGCACTCAAATTTCCTGTTTAAGAGCATTAAGTACTGGTTTTTTCATCGCAAAGAATAAGTTTTTTATGAGAATTAATCAGAATTCTAAGATATTACCAAAATGTGCTTCAATTACTTTCAATGACGTTCTTCTTTTTGATCCCGGCACTTTATTACAATACTTTTTCAGCTAGTAGATTCTTTACTTAGTAATAAAAAAGGAAGATTAAAAAGACATAGGGTAAAAACAACGGAACTTTTTCAATTTTCGGACTTAGCTGGTTGCCCGGGCTGACGTCCATACAAAAAAACGCTGGTCATACAATTTCATATTTGGAGGCTATGGAAGAAACGCTTATCATACAGTTTTGATACAAAAAAAACATGTTTTACTGATTTTTAGTACATTTTTGTTGCCTATTCGATCCTTTGGACAATTTCTGGTCATCAAAAAAATGATTTCTTTTAGCTGTTATAGCAGCAGTGATCCTAACACTTTTTCTACCTTAGGAAACGCACGCAGTATAGCGAAGTTTAATGATTAGCGCGTAGCTTGGTATTCACTGAAAAATTCGAGAACTAGAATCTGGACCCTAGGACTCCCCTGGTGGTCCAACTTCCCCAAGTAGAAACTAGGGAAGCTATCTTTATGAACTCATAGGGCGAATACTAGAGATGATTTGAAACGGGTATGCAGAAACCAGGAATCCTAGGACTCTCTTCGGTCTTCTGGACCCCAGTGACATTGGTTCCCTGAAGTGCAAATAGCCCTATCAGAACTTAGTAACAAGCTCCTGGATTTGGACCAACATTTAATTTGTTACAGACCTAGTTGAGTGAAGCATATGTTCAGAACCCAAGACCCCCTGGACCTCTACGCCCGATGTTATCCCTACGCAAATTTTCTTCACCCTGACATCCGGAAGTCGTATCTCGGGTCCCACTCAGCGCAGGGAGCCAAAACTTTGTGATACGATGGGTAATGACAAAGGACATCATGTATTACGGTTTGTGACAAATCCAGCTGTTGGACCGGAAGTTCCTGAAACGCCTTATGTCGGAAAAAGACGCCTGACCGGAAACAGGCAGTTTATGCAAAAAGAATGAGCGAGAGTATGTTGATTTTACGGCGACAAAAGACACAAGATATTAACTCCAAAAAACATCCAATGTGAACTCCTCCCGGTGTTCATAGCCTTTCCACTGGAAAAGTGATAATGGACCTTAGAACTGTGATAACACAGGATATGAAAGGAACTTGGCAGGTAGGACCCCTATTTTGACTCTGAACCTGGATATGGAAGGTTGACCCAATATTGACCCAACACCGGAAAGTGGCATAAATTCCAGTCCGAACCTTTTGAAATTGGAATCGGTCGCTTGACTTATATTTGGGAGGAAGCTTGTCTACTGGGAACAGAAGCTGAGAGGGATCTAGCTTCTATTTTGAAGAAGCTCACTCAAGCTTACAAAAATAAGTCTCAGAAGAAGTTTTCACTAATAGGAGCGCGGCTTGGGAAGTAGGTCTCCTAATTAATTTGAATGGACGGGGTTTTTACTTAGCTCCTCTGAGCTGGTTTTTTGGCACAATTTGACCCCTGATAGGCAAATCACATTGCCCTTATAACTAGAAAGTCGGGAAAGGAATAGAATATAGCTGGGAAATTTAGATACTTGAGTTGAATAAGCGACCCTGAGAAGAGCCTTCTCCTACTCCGGGAGGTCGCATCGTTGAAAGGAAAAAAATTGAGAGATTGGTTGGTTAAACATAACTTAGTTAAGTGCTTTGCACAACTTATTGGAGATACCATGGTGAACTTGGCATTCATAACTAGTGTCGTCAGGCGAAAATTTCGGTTAGGACTTTGCGCAAAGGGTGCATGAGTAAATTTCAGGACTTGTAGGGACGTTCCTAACTATAACAATAACTAAAACTCAAATTGACAAAACAGCGAAAAGGTTACCGGTTGCCTATACGTATGAAAAAAACTGTGCGGTTCGACACTTGTGAGGCTAGAGAACCTCCCAAGTGAGTTTGAATTCATCTAGTTAGTGATTTTTTCTAGAATGAGAGATAGTTGAGCCATCGAGAATAGCAGAAGTGCAGAGAATTAATTAGTGTTAAGAGAAAGTTAAATTGCAATGGAACAACCGTTTTGATGAATCGCAAACCCTTCCCTATAAGTAGAATCTATTTTGGCCACTCGGAGCCTTGAATTTGGATGTAATTTTTTTGAATTTAATTACATTTGGAAAAGCTTACGTTCGTGAGTGCGATCGATACAGCCACAAGAGCAAAGAAAAAAGGGGAATGCAACATAATACGGAACAGTACAATTGCTGCCATCTTAACTCTTTCGGGATTGTGGATAATGATGATTCTTGGTCGCCCCCTTGAATGCCTTACCAGAGGCACCACTTTGCGGTGTCCTTAAGGGAGAGATAGAGCAAACATATAGTAGCAATTGCGTTTTTAGATCAAGTTATCATCCCATCCTCAAATAGTCCAAGTTAAGATCCTTCACCCCAGCGTTCATTTTAATTTAAATCTACCAAGCGCTGCATGTAAAATACTCTTTTTTGATTGGCTGAAATGTCGAAATCAGAACCAAGTTAACATCCTCGGGTCTTGCTAACTTTTCCCTTCCCTTTGGTACCTTATTACAAATCTTCTCCCTATAAAGAAAGAATTGAACAGTTAAGCATGTAAGAATTTTGTACCTTGCTAATAATCCCCATATTGCAATATGGGTGATTGTTAGCAAGATCCACATCCCACCCCCCCCCCCCCCCCCCCCCTAAACGGATTCTTGAGGGGGTCCGCGTTTTTTTTCGGCACTCGCTCCCCCTCAAAATTAATTTTTTTGGCACCAAAGGCGCTTTCCGAAAAATTTTAAAGTTGGCCAGCCAAAAATGGATTTCGTTAAGTGATGGTGTTATTTATCTGAAAAAAACGACATATGCCTAATAGCGCTTAATAGTTTTTACTAATGTCTGTTTCTCATGTTTGTTCATTTATACTTCGGTGACGGATGCCGGACAACAAGCCGACGGGACTAATGTCTGTTTACTAATGTCTGTTCATATATACTTCGGTGACGGATGCCGGACAACAAGCCGACGGGACTTTAAGCTGAATCCTAAATAAGGGGACCTCAAGCCGAACACCTTGTCAAAAAGTCATGAAATATGATTAAATTGAAAACTATAAAACTGTTTTGAAGAAATTCTCAACTTCACGAGCTTTTCTTTTCAAGTTATTTGTTTTTTCTTAAGTTTTGAGCTTCTAATCGATGTTAAAAAATACTATGTTTCGGCTTGAAGTCTCGTCGGCCTATTGCCCCCCCCCCTGAAATTCAAAAAATATCGCGTTTCTTATTCTTGAAAATACTATGTGTTTGCGTATTTCCGCTGGGTGCCCGACTTCAAGCCGAAATGCAAAATCAGGGACTTCAAGCCGAAATTTTCCTCATCAACTCATGAAATTTGATTAATTTTTTTGAAGAATTCCTCAATTTCATGATCCTCTTTTGGTAATTTTTTGGTGTTTTCATGTAATTTAAGTTCCAAATGATGTTAAAGAAAGTTGAAAAATAAAACGCGGTTGAAGATAAATTTCTTGTTTAAAGTTTATGCTTTTCAAAAACTGGTTGATATTTTTTACGGATGCCAATCCTAAGTGATTCATTGTCATAAAAAACGCTTATTATGGAATTATTTTGCCTAATTTTTTTTTGAAAAGCAATGTTTTACAGATGAAAAAATAGTGGTTTCAGGTGCTTGTAAAGTTTAAGTTTCGACCTGAAATTCCTTCGGCTTGAAGTTCCGTCGGCTTTTTGTCCTACAGTACGAGGCCAAACTGTGCATTTTGTGAATTGTAAGCGGAGGCCGCAACAAGGATGCTCAATTTGTTCTTCTTTTGCTCTTTCATTTGCTTTGATCAATCCGACAAAAATTTTCATTTGTTTAAAGACTTGTCTCTGGAATCTAAGAACAAATAGACACAAAATTGTGCGCCTATCCCGTGCACAGTGTGGCCTCGTAATGTAGACTCATTTCTGCTCAGTTCAAAATAGCACACACAAACTCAACGCAAGATTTCATTTTCAAGAGAACCGTTTTGATTTTGATGCCAGATGTTAACATGCAAACAGACAAATCAAATTTACTCAAACAAAACGAAACTGTTATCACTAAACGTATGGTTGAAATCAAATCAAGAAAAGTTAAGGCACAATTGGTCCATATTTAAATCTCTTCTTGAATTGACAAACTGCTAAAGATAAGCCACCTAAGAAGAGTTTCATTCAATAATAACAGCGCAGAACGTGAACACTGAAACACTGATTACGCAAAGGTAAGAGCTATTTTGGATGTGGTTCTGCTTTTTTAAACTATTTAACTACCTCCTCCCCCCTATCCCTCTCCCCAATCTCCATCTCTCTTTCTTGCAAAATGGAGCAGCGATAAGCGTGACTGCTATAGTTTGGGAGCTGTTGCAATAAGCGTGTGTGTGTGCTTTCAAATAGGTGTTCGCGCAGACGAAAAACAATTAAGACTGTTTTCAAATAAATATGAGGTACAATTGTGTATAGAGAAAGAGACCCGGTAAAAACCAAAT